GGGTGCGCCGGTAGATGTCGAACAGGCCCTCCGACCCCATGATGCGGTTCAGTACCCGCATAGCCCCGTCCACATCCCCGTCCTTCACCAGTACTGTCTTACCGATGAACCGCTCGTTCAGAGCACGTGATACGAGAAGTCTTGCGGTGATATACATGTGGACGAAGTGGTAGATCACCAGTGATTTGGTGGTCGAGTGTGTTGTCAATTGGCGTTTGTTTTGCTGTTTATTGTATTGACTGTGAATGCGAGGGCATGTGATTGGCCTTTCAAAGGGCTGTCAATAGATTACGTGTCATGTATAGTACGTCCGATAATTGTTGGCAAAGAATATTCTGTATGTTTTGTATGGAAATGGTTGTGAATATTAGGTTTAATTGTAAATTAGCTAGGTGATTAATGAATATAATATTTTAATTGCAATTATTTAGTAATTATTTATAAAATAGTTGTGAAATATAACATTAAATGAAATATAGTAATTATAAATGAATGTTAAACTTAGTTATACATAACTTTATTAATGTTAATTTTAAAATAATTTTATTATTACTTATCAATTACAGTACCAAATATAATAGTTCTAAAAATATAATTTTAGATTTTATTATACCTTCAAATTCAAATCTATTTTTAATTTCATTAATAAATTTATTAATTCATTAATTCATTAATGCACAAACATTTTAATATGAATTTAAATAATACTAACGACTATTATAATAAAAAATATTTTCTAATTACTTTGAGGTAGTGTTATCAATTGAGTCAATAGATAAAGTGTTTTATTGTTTATAATTATCAGGTGTATTTGATAATAGTAATGGCAATATATAAATATTTATTAATTAAATAATAAGAATACTGTAGTACAGTAACTATATTAACGATAATAACTGGTAGTTGTCATTTGAAACGACATTTTAAGTTAAAATAAAATTAACATAATCTTTGTTCACTGTAATTATTGATGAATAAACTCAATGGACAGGTGGTTCAGCCACCGCTATACAAAGTAATCATGGTGGGCAGGGATGATTCTGGAAAAAATGCCCTAGCCCTTCAGTTCATGTACAATGAGGTATGTAAATATCTAGTTACATCAAAAATAGTAAACGTTCATTTTTAATAATGCCCAAAATATATTTAAGTTGGGCATAAATAAAATATATTATAAACTATATTATACTTAAAATCAAACATTAATTTCGGGTAGAAATATTTAAAATTAGTGTTTCAATTCTGCTTTAATATTACTGTATAATAAAGGACAGTTTAAATACTTGTTTTGTATATTCATATTAGATTTATGACAATTAAAACTATAATATTTTTGTATTTTAATGTAAAGTTTGTTGAGGACTATAGCCCAACAAAAGCCGATTCGTACCGAAAAAAGGTTATTCTGGACGACGAAGAGGTTCAGATCGATATCCTGGACACCGCTGGACAGGAGGACTATCCGGCCATTCGTGACAACTATTTCCGTTCGGGCGAAGGATTTCTATGCGTTTTCTCGATCACAAAACACGAGTCCTTCACTGCTGTCAATGAATTCAGGTATTCATCACTTGTTTGTCTGAACTGTAACTTAAATGTTGAAAATAATTTTAAGTAAATTCAGAATTTTTGTAATTCAATATTGGACGCAAACATCCTGATTGTTTTATTTAATTTTGTATACATCTATTTATTTGACAATTAAAATACTTTAAAATACTATATTGAGCTAAAATTTAATTTTACGTATGTATTATTTGAAACTATTAACATTTTTACTTATAATTGAAACTGTAATTTAATTCAAGTATTATAAATTAATAAATATTTTTCTTAGCACTTCAATAGTGGGTATAGACTTAGGAGTAATATTATTTTGTTAAACATTTTAAAATTAGATATTTAATTTGTATATAATTTTATAATTTATATTAAATATTGGAACAGTTTAAAAATTTAAAAAGTTCATAAAATTGTCAAGTATCTGATTTAAATTTTATTTATTTATTTTTATCTACACTACAATTATTATTAAACTTGTTAAATATTCAAAATTAGTAAATTTTTAGTTGGCAGTCATCGAAGTTGGACATTATTTTATATTTAATACTAATTATCATCAAAAATTTTCACATTTCTTATAAATAATCAAAAACTATGGAATTTTTCCGATTTCTTACAATTTATCAAAATATAAAACAAATCATAAACGCATTACTAAAGGAATGGTATGTTTTGGTGACCCCTTTAGGGAGCAAATACTGCGAGTGAAGGGCGACGACAACATCCCTTTTGTTTTGGTCGGAAATAAAGCTGATTTAGACGAAAGACGTCGCGTGAGTCTCGATGAGGCGCACCGACTGTCAGACCTCTGGAAAGTGTTATACATTGAGACCCGACTCAATGTGGACCGGGTATGACATCTACGCCCACCCTATCGTACACTTTAAACCTTATTACTAACTATTGTCTAAAAAATAGGTTTTCTTTGACTTAATGCGAGAAATACGTAAACGAAAGCTGACGGACGCCGAGACGAGTAATGGTCCCAAAAAGGCCGGCCGTAAGAAAAAGAGGTGTATTATCCTGTAATACCGTTCCACTCATGTATGGGCGCCGATATTTTCAAATGTAACATATTTGTAATTAATTGACTATCTTATTTTATATTTAGTATTTTAATTATATTTATTGTATTTACAAAATTTAATAAATTCTCAATATTAATTTAAGTATGGAAAATGTTCAAATCACATTAACAAATATTAATTTATATTGCTAAATACTTGTGGACTAGATTTAGAATATAATTCAATTATTAGCAACATAATTTAGTTTTTAATTTACGCAATATTGAACGTGATACTGAATTTGAAAATATTAAATAAGTATTCAAAGAAAAAAGTGTTACTATTTTTAAGTGTTTTTAACATTCTTTCTGTTTCACTATTTTTGTACAAAAATCCTATATCAATAGACCAGTACTTATATTTAGCCAACACTTCACGGCATTCCGGTCTGAAAGTCCAATCGGGAGTTGAATTCATTGAGTTGAGTATATTTATCAAAATTTTCACCGGTTTTGTTAACCATTTATTTGAATACCTGGTTTCTCTATGATATTTGACAAAAGTATAGATTAGTAATTGTAAAACTTAAACTGGTCACGTTTTAAAATTTAATAAACATTGTTTTAAATAGTTTAGAATATTAAGTTCTCCTATACTATACTAATTACTACTAGTATAAACTACCTTATTTTTAAAAAAGTAACTAATAAATATCGGGTGTCCCATCGTATCAGTACGACTTGTAAATTAAATTAAAAATATTTACAAATTTAAATTTAATTTACAAGTCGTACTGATACGATGGGACACCCCATACTATAAAAATATAAATTTATATATCGGAACATTTAATATTTATCTTGTATTTTATATTATTTGTAAACATATAATTATTAATATTAAGAATTTCCCTCAAATCATTGTGCGTGTTCATTATAAAAGTTTTATTTCCAGTAAAACCTTTAAATGGATTTAGGTTAACACACATATACAGTATTATATGTACCTTGCTGAATCCACATCAAATATTTGGCAACCAATTTGTGCCAGACTATAAATATCGAATTTATGATCATATTGTCTACCATTCATAACTTCAGGTGCCATATATTTTTCAGTTCCAACATTATCCGTGTGTTTACTAACCGCGAGATGTGCACCTTGGTCAAACCAAAGTCGCATAACTTTTAAAACCTGCCATCCCGTACATTAATAGCGATTAATATGTTTTCAGGTTTGAGGTCTCTGTGCATAATCTGCGGATTCAATTCATGCAAATACTGAACACATTCCAGGATTTCACGGAATATATAACACGATATTAAATATTGCCAGCAATTCATAGGTTCGTTCAATTGTCGGCCAAACACTAGCGCTTTTTGTTTCAGAATATTCTTAAGACTAGTTTCAGAATATTCTTAAGACTATCGAAACACAACTCCATTTGAATGTGTATACAATTCTCGTGAATCCACGAGCGGTAACACTCGACCACATACTCAGAGCGCACTTTAAACAACTTATCCGCCTCTTGTAGGGCTCTCTCCGTCTCTTTGTTTGGATTAAGATTAAGGATAAGGATTAAGAAGATCTGTTTGGATTAATTTAATCATTAAATTAAATGTGATTTTTAAAATTCACAACTTTATGTAAAGGCTATGAGAACTTTGATGCTTTCTGAAATTTTATGTATCGCAACCATTTTCCATGACTTGCGACCTATGTATGCAAACTTTTATAAAAATCTTATGCTTCATTAAGTTTCAGAAAGCATAATTTAGATATTTTTATTCTCTAAACAAATAATTTAAATTTTATTTAAATTGGATATATTTGGTTATAAACATAATTTATAATTAAAGGGTTTGTTTCAATAACATATTTTATTAATCAGTTAAAAGGTAACAAAAAATAAGAAATAACAATTAATATTTACCAATCATTTGTATTATCTTAAGGCATACTCCTGATCATCAGTTTTATGTCGGGTGCGCAACACCTGGCCGTACCCTCCCTTTCCAATAAGTTTAATAAACTCCAATCAATTCTCATAATAGCCAATGTTTTGCTTAATTGTATTATAACTAATTTGAAAGATTTACTACAAATGTCATTAATTTTAATATATTTTATTGTGAAATACAGGGTAGCCTTTAATTAACGATACCATTTTGATTCTCGTTTATTTGAAC